TTTTAATTCACCTTCCCCCTCTAAGTTCAGTGTTCTTCCTATTAATTAGACATTGGTTTTGTGATTTTAAAAAATCACTATATGCACTTTAGCTATTCCCATTCTTAAATGAATGCATTGTTTCATATACACATTATTTCCCCAAAATGATTTCAGTCTTGTGTAACTTTTTGAGATGCATCTCAGGTGACAATTTTTATTGATAGCATCACATCCAGTGGCATCCTTTTCCATCCCTACTTCAGTCTGCCAGTACACATTCATCTTTCTGTACAAACATATCTCTGTCTAAAACGCTACATCTCAGCTATTCTTCAGGTCTGGCATAACATCTTGGGCAAAGGTGGGCTCTGGTAGTAGTGACACAACCAATGCAAAACAGGGAACGTAAGGGGCTGGAGGAGTATCATGGTCCCTCTGTGAAGCTCGACATAGCCTTCATCTCCTTCTATACAGGTACATTAAAAAGTCCCTGCATCATTAAAATATATTATTATTTAATTTCCAAAATGCTACTAGTAACACATCGTCATTTTATATATGAATGCATATTGTGTCGTATGGGGATGTGGTGGCGCTGCGGGTTAAACCGCATTGCTGCAAGGTCAGAAGACCAGCAGTCGTAAGATCGAATCCATGCGACGGAGTGAGCTCCCATCGCTTGTCCCAGCTCCTGCCAACCTAGCAGTTTGAAAGCATGTAAAAATGTGAGTAGATAAATAGGTACCACCACGGTGGGAAGGTAAAGGCGTTCCATGTCTAGTCATGCTGGCCACGTGACCACAGAAACTGTCTACAGACAAACGCTGGCTCTACAGCTTAGAGACGGACACGACTGGACTAAATGTCAAGGGGAACCTTTACCTTTATTGTGTCATATATATACTCCACATAATCACTGCACCTATTCAAGCAAACATATTCAGTTGGCATTTAGAAGAATGAAAACCAGATACAAAGACTTTTCAGTATTCCCTCATATAATGAGAGAAATACTGCAGAAACTTTCCATGGTGAAGCCATCAAATACATCCTTATGTAAAATGAGATGCATCCCAAGATCCTTATGAAATAATTTGATCTGATGATCCCTGACCTATTCACAGAACCCCGTAGAGCTGGCATACATGTTTGCAGATCTACTCAGATGTTATGCTTGATCATGGCTGTACCAGGTTATGCAGGGCAACAGGATGGCTCATTTCACTGTTGTTGCCTGGGAGGTCTCCGTAGAAACCTCTGCAGCAGAAGAAATGGCTAGCTAGCCAGTCCAGCCTTCCACAACTTGCCACCCTCCAGCTGTGTAGGATAGTTGCTCTCATTGTCCCAAGCAAGCCACTCTAGTTGTGAATTGTAATTGTAGTTGGGAATTGTAATCCAGTTTATCTGGACGATACCAGGTTGGGAAAAGCTGACCTAAATCTTGCCATCACCGAAGTGAAGTGTCACAAATATTTCTTCTAAGAATACATTACACAGCTTCCTTGAATTCAGCAACATAAAAAACCCCACTTTTATTTTTCTCCTGGATATCTAGAAGCTGTCCTTCTGAAAGGAAAAGAGAGAACCAGGAACTATGTCCTGAAAAGCATCAATTAATTCAATAAAGAGTGTGACATGGACATGTGGCAGAATACTTGGCTCCATTCTGCCCTATGATTATGGCATTTATCAGGCATTCATCCTTGTCTCTAAATATAGATGGCCACACGCTCTCCCTTCTTTTCTGATCTGTACTAACTATCTGGTTGCCCAACAAGCTCCCAGTTATTCTTAGCACCAGTGTCAAATTATTTCTGTTCCTACTCTTTGTCTTTTATGCTGCACTACAAGTTCTTGTAAGCAGACATAACATGACATCCAGGCCACACTGGCTAATCTTAAGGACTCCCCATACCCAATGTTTGTGTGTTTCCATGTCTGCATGTATGCATGTGCATAAGCATACATATGCAAACACATTTGCCTCAGCACACAAACTAATGCTTCAATAAAAATCATTTTTAAGGACTAGAATGACAGGCAGCATAACAATTAAATGTGTTTAGAAAATACTGCAGAATGTTGTTATGCACCATCAAGATGCCTTCAACTTAGGGAAAGCCTACAAATCAGAACTCTCCAAAATAAGAGACCTATAAAAGATTACTCAGCTTTTGTAAACTCAACACTGTGACTTCCTTTATGAAGTCAATCTCAGTTTCAGTTTTCTTATTTTTCTGCTGCCTTCAAATTTTCACAGCATTATTGTATTTTCCAGTGAATCTTGCCTTATTGTTGATGTAACCAAAGTAGGACAGCCTCAGTTTCTTCACTTTTGCCTCCAGAGAAAGTTAGGGCTCTAGGACCCAGTTGTTTGTCTTTCTGGCCATCCAGAATATCTGAAAAGCTGTACCTTCCCCCTTGGGTTCAATGCACAGCTTAACGTGCTGAAACGGTTTGAGCATGTCAGAGAAACCAAGGTTAATTCCATCTCCGTTATGAGTCTGAAGTCCTAGCAAAGTCACTTAAGGTGAAATGTCCACAGCTGAAGCACCAGACTAGGATCCATCCACATTCGTCAGGAGTAATGGCGGCATCAGCAGAAGAGTATGGATAGTTCCAGTGGTGCTAGCAGCAGCAGCAGATGAAGGTGATGCTGGCAAAGGATCTTTCACAGACCATGGCAGTGAGCCTTAGGCTAGCTTTTGTTAGTACTGCACAGAAGGAAGCAAGGGCAAACCACTTCTGAATGTTTGTTACTTTGAAGCCCCCATGGTAAGACTGCAGAATATATGTCAGCCTACCTCCGATTAATTTGCTTGAAGCTAGAAGTTATTAAAACATTTATATAAAAGCATCAAATATCTATCACAATTTTATTTCTAACATATGAATAGGGTTTTTTTTAAATTAACAGTAGGAGCCAATTTTTTCTTAAATTAATGACAGACCAGAAGTGCAGAGCTTTCATTCTCTTATCCTAATTGGTTTACCTGGTATAGTTGGCATGGACCGGCTGGCAAAGCTCATTTGCTTGAGAAGAACAGATGTTTTCTGAGGTACATCCAGATGTTCAGATAGGTTGGTGTCACTCATAAATTCAAATTTTCTTGACAACTGTGTAGCAACAAAAGTACATGGTATTCAGGATGAGAAGAGTAAATTATCCAACTTTAACATTTTTTTTACGAAGAAATACATATGTGGTAAAATTATTACAGCCATTATGTCTTAGTTATGTTGAGTAATATGTATTTTCCCATTTATGAGAGGGGACAGTTCCTGAATTATGGTTCTTCATAAATGAAATTGCTTCTGGTTAACCTAAGAGAATGTAAAATCAATAATTTAATAAGTGAATATCAATAATGTCAACAAGAAATTTCATTGAACAAAGGAGGGCATCCAGAGTTATTAAATTCAGTGGGTTTTTTTTCTCTAGTTGAATTTTGTTGAAATGTCAAGCAAGCACAGTCCAAGTGGAACTTCTGCACAGATTCTCATAAAACAAATGAGATATCCCCAAGGGCACAAAGATGTTTATTGAGTTGTTGGTGTTACGCTACTGGCAAAAAGAAGACACCTCTGTTCTATTCCTTTTAATGGCCAACTACTGCAAAGGAAAGATCATTTATGTGATTTGCTCCCACAACCATTTTCTTTTCTTATATCCATACTCCTTATTTGCCCAACGGAATTCTCCCCCACCCCAGGCTCCAATCATATGCACACTTACCAAGGAGATAAGTCCCCTACACAACATTAGTTAATGGGTTCGGTAACCACTCTGCTTGAAGAATGTCATTTTGTTTGGAAAAGGGGAAATGCTGCTTACCTATAAATTCCCATTCTTGGTGGGGATAAAAATAAATGAGAACTCAGACTTTGTTATGAGTTGGAAATAGCTGCAGTTTTCAGTGCAACTGAAACTATACCACATGCAAGAAAACAGATCTAAGGGCCTAAATCCAAACCCTGATGGTATTGCAGCTGTAGACTAATGTAACTTCTATCTGTTCCCTCTTCTGCCAAAACTTGGCTTGAGAAAGTTTTTTGCCCCCCCCCCCAGTTCATGGGGGAACTGCCATGGGAAGATAACAGATAATCTGCTCATCTTGCTTCCACTGTTCTACCAGTTGAACTCAATGCTACACCCTACCCAAGATCTTCAGAATCGGGATATTTGCTGAAAACAGCTGAAATGCGAGATGCATTTGTTCTACAAGATACCAAACTTGGAACCAGGAAAAATCCAGATGGTCACAACATATAGTTCAGGCTATAACCTTCAATGTACTTGATAGGTTTCTAGAAGTCAAGCTGCTGAATTTTCAAATTCTCATTGCCATTCCATATTTCTTTATTTCTTGAAGATATGGCCAAGAAACCTGCACAGCCCTCTGAATCCATTCAACATCTGTTTTTGAAGACATAAACTGACCTTCAGCTATTTATGTTATCATAATTTCAAAAAAGAGACTTTTAATTTCTGGTGTCTGGAGACATAAAAATATGAATTGTGAATTGGAGATATTTGCAGGTTATACACTTGGTCTTTTATATGACCAGAAAAGGAACTCAAATGACTCCGAGTGTGAGCAAAGAATTATGTCTAGCCTTAACCAACCTATCAATATCTGGCCTTTGGACAGAGTTTTAGCCTGCTTACATTGAGATATTATTCTATCTATTACGCAACCTTCTTGCAAAGGATTTCAGGTCTAATCTGATCTTCATTTAGCTTTCCTTCTGGACAGCAGACTCGATTAGACAAGGTTTCTTTACTAAAGTGTTTTCTCTTTCCCTTTTTTTAAAAAAACAGCTTTAACAACGCTGCTTTTTTAATACTCGAAAACATTTTGTTCTTAGGAACGATGTTATAAAATTTTGTGGTGCAAAGTGATATAACTCAGGCTGATGATATATGAGTATGACTAAAGTGCTCAGAAGACAGATGACACAAAAAGGTGCTAATGATACAGTCTGGAGCCTGGAAGTGTTCACAGGGCACAAGTGGCAAATCTACAATGTCCTACCAAGGTCCCCCCCTCCCCCCCGGTTTCACAAGAGTCCGAATGAGCATCTACGACTCCCTTGAAAATATCTCAGCCGGGATTAGAGATCACAGAAGGGCAGCTAGCTGCTTCCCCTTGGATGTCTTTAGTACATCTTCACTCCAATACATCTTTGCCCAAATATTTAAAAAGCCTGCTTCAGGACAGATTTCCAGTCTTTACAATTGTTAAGCACAAGTGTGCAGCTTCATTCATTGAGGTGGTGCACTCAACTCGACTCAAAAGCCACCGCAGGCCACACTGGGCCCAGGGGTGATCTTGGGAGCTGCAAAACTGCCCAAGGCACACACAGCTAGCCCATCCCTTTATTACATTGGGCACTAGGGTGTCCTTGTTTTACTGCTCACCAAAAGTGGCCTAACTATGACGTTAGCAATAAATCAAGTTTTTTGTTTATAAATGACATCTTAATGAGATGCAATGGTGCCCTAGGACACACATGTTGAGTGACCTCTAGCATGTCAGGATTGTAATAAAGTGACCTTTTAGAATAACATACACTTTTCATGTCGGGAAGTTCAGAGGCTGCCTTTTCATCAGCAAACACCACACTGCTTCTCTTTCCTCTCCTCTTGCATCTCCTCATCTTCACTTCTGGTTGGGTGCAGGTCAGGCGTACATTCTCATCCGACACTGACTTGGTTGTCTTTGGTGACATGACTTCCAGTTCAAAGCTACAGAGACAAAGTGAATCAACGCTCACTGAATGACACCACCCAAGTCACTTTCTTATTATACTGAAAGACGCCACAACTCTACTTCATAGAATAACTTTGGATTTTGTCATGTGGATGCAGTGGATATATAGCTTATGGAGGAGGACATAGAATGACAGTGGGGAAAATATGGGGAAGGGATGGGGATGTGGCTTACCAGTGTCCTCATCATTACCAGAGCCCTACATGTTTTCAGAATCAACCGTCAAGTAGGATTTAAGTCTTTGAAAGCTAATCGGTAATCAGTGGAGTCAAGCTCATCATTGTTCATTTTAGTACAAGGCTTTAATATTAAAATATTGATTAGAATTAATGTAACAATTACGATCCTTAGTGTCTCAGAAAAGTCATCACATCATTATAAGCAGAAATGTGTCTAAAATGGAATCACCTAATGCTGCCCCGTGAAGTGATCTCCATTAGATGGCAATGTGAAAAGAGTTTGCCCTTGTATTCCTATCCCTGCTGATGAGAGGGGTCAATATGAAACTAACCTTTCTGCAACAGGTTTGCTTGGTGTGCTACAGTCTGAATTCATGGAGGACAAGGAAATAATAGACATCTGGCGGTATGACCTCAGCATGGAAGTTGGCCGACCTACTCGTCTGTCATCAAAGTCAGGCTTAGCAGAGGATGCAGAAGAGAAGAAAAACACAATAAAGAAGTTTTGAGTACAAGGATCTCGTCACTGCTTAGCTGCACTGACAGAGAGAAAAATCATACCGTAACCTGGGCCAAAACAAACTGCAAAATTCTCAGCCAGTAATATTTCCCTGCTTCAGTGTTCTTGAAGATAATAGTGTGGCATAGTTTGTGTTGGGATGCCTCATGTGGTGTAGTAGATAGTGTGATACACAAGGAAGAACTCAGGAGGCCTGAATTAGAATCTCCAGTTAGCAATAGAAGCTCACTGGGGACGTGGAACTGGAAAAACCACTCCTTAAAAATATCTCCCTTACTTTGAACGCCTCTTTAGAGTTACTACTAGTCAGTTCCGACTTGACAGAATTGGTGTGATTTTTGGATGCTGATGAAATTAGGGTTGCACATCTTTGACACATCAGAGTTTGGTGAGGCCAAGCTAATAAAAACTCAACACTTCACTGTTGCTTATTCTTTTCTGTGACCTTGATGCTTTTAATATGGCTAGTTTTGAAAGGCAATACCTGTCCTTCAGTTATTCAGTGAGCAGTACTATATGTCATATTTACTACATTGTTTTGCAAAATCATACAAATAGGCATTTCTTCTTGCTTGTCTAAGCAGACCTGAAAATTAACAGAAGTCAGAGACTTAAAATCATTCCTCTGACCACTATTTCTATTCTGCCTACCATTAACCTGACGGAGATGAAACATACTGGTCATACAAGATGTCCTCTATTAGCTACACATTCTGTAGCTAATATAGACCATAATCAGAAATACTGTAGGTCACCTTCTTTAGGATCTGCTAATAACATCAAAGAGGGTGGGCATCCTTTATCTTTAAGCTGGAAGAGCTATTCTCCATGTATATATGGCAAAGAAAATATATCATCTTCATAAATTTAATACTTGAAATTTGGGGGGGGGTGTAAAAATAATTGTAGAGATTTTATGAAACCTGTATGGAAATGGGTATTTAATCTCACACTTCAAACTCCATTCCAACACTACCTCATTGAGAGCCACCTCTGGCAAGGGAGTCAAGCTCCCCAAGTTTATTTTCCAAAACATTCTGCATGTTATGTGCAGTGGGAATAGCTTCACATCTGGTGTATCCCAAATGCAGCAAGGAGACACAATCTGCACAGTTGCCTTTCACAGGAAAAGACAACCAGAGAGAGAGAGAATATAATCAGAATGGCTATACTCTTGAATTAACTGGCTTGCATAAATATATACACCCACAAACTTACTAATTGATGAGAAACTTCCTGAGAGGTTATCAAGTAATTTATTTGTCCACATGTATCTGAAGAAAATTGCTTTTCATCAGTGCACAGTTAGCTGTGCTGAATTTCAGCCCAAGTTAGTCCCCTGAATAAACTGGGAGTATCTGAAGACCATAAAGAAGCTGAATTGATCTGCTGGCTTATCTCTATGTTTCATGTCAGATTGTACCATACTATCTGGGAACTTTCCTTCAGCTTGCTATATTCCAGGTGACATTTATTCAGTGCGTAGTGTGACACACTCAGCAATTGAAATCCATCCCTGCTAGGAATATAAATCCTTGGCTGCCCTGGCTTCAGAGACAGGAATGAAGAATTTCAATATTGTTCTTATCAGGGACAATGGCAAGTAGCTTCTTCATGCTATAGATTTCTCAACAGAATTCTCACTTTGCAAGATTGCCCATCTTGCGGTGGGTGGGTGTAAAAGTATGTCAGTACCCAACCATGAGAATTGGGTGAATTGCCCCAAATTATGTAGCTTGCTGATGTAAGAATTTGGAATACTGGGTGGATTGTTCACACCTTTCTTCGTTGTCAACCATTCCTTCTGTGCTGGCTGCGCTTATTCAACTCTGCTTCTCAAAGGCGAAGGACACCAGAGAAACTGGAGGTGGCAGGATGGGGGCAGGGAGAACTCTTCCACTCACATTCTTAGTTGCAGGAGGGTTGAATTGTTCTTCATTGAGATGCCAGGTTTTGTTTAGACAGCCCAAATTAAGAGAAGAACAATGGATTTACAAAGCGTTCTTTCCATCTCTCATGTCTACCTAGCCTCAAGCCACAATATCTCTCCTCTTTGCCGTCCAGATTAGGCAAAGGGCAATGTCTCCACCAGTCAGGAGAACCATGACAACTTTTAGTTGACATCTGAGTGGCGTCAGCTGTGTTAACTAAGATGGTCGAGGTTTTTTTTAAAAAAAAAATAAACAGAGCCGAGGTCTACAAGTAGGTCACAAAAGGAGGATGCTCTGTTCTGGATGGAATTGCTACCAGCCACTCCAGCCCTGCTAGGCGTCACTTGAATTTCTGATGGTATGGTAGCTAACTTATTTGGTAGTACCACACACACGGAAAGATTGCACCTTTCCACAGCAGTGAAGCCCAGGAGGTGCAGAATGAAAGGGAAATTAATAAGCTTCCATTTGCATATGCACAAACAGCTAAACAATATCCATAACCTGCATTATTTAGAAGTTAGACTGGATGATTTCTCTCCCTTGAATACGCTTTAGTGCTCACCACCTAGGAGCTTTTCTATGGTAAGAGTGATTCAGCCCATTGAAGCCTGCAAGGGAGCTGTGTTCCAGGCGAGGATAGACATTTCATTCCATGAACAACAGCCTTCTCGTTCCTAATGCTATCAAATTTTTCATCTAATTATTTAGCTGTTTTGTTGGCTACAGCCCAAAAGCTGTCAAAAACATACAGTGGCGAATTCTACTCTGCAGGGCTTTTTATTTGTCTACAGTACCATTTTAGCTAATGTATTTATGTTTTATCACACTCGGGAGAGGTTGTTTCAAAAGCAGATCCAGGAAACAGTTGGAATCTTCCAAGAATTAGGACCCCTAGATGTTCAGTCTGGTTCAAAGCTGGAAGCGATTAAAATTTACAGCAGAAGGGGAAGAGGAGCTCTGTCCCCTGGCTGTCATATTTTCATAAGGCTTTCTTCTTTCTCCCTAACAAACTGCATCAAAGTTATTTCAAACAAAGCTCTTAACTCTGCACAAAGCAAACTCTAGCCCTCTAGGGGACAAATGAGCTGATCTGCCAATGGATGAAAGGAAGATGTTGTGCCTTTGGTTCACAGGCCAACCCTTAAGGTATGAGAGTGCTGTTTTCCTTCCTAGGGCAGCTTGAATAAAATTTAACCGACTGAAGGGAAAGAAAAGGGAGGAGGGAATCTTACCAGTTCTCTCATGCCATATTGTTTCTCCACTTTGGCCTTTAAGTGCCTGAAACACTCCTCCATGCGTTCATGGAAAGGACGAAGGCTGGGTGAAACCCTCCTCTCATGGATCTTAATTCCAGCCCCAAGAAATGGAATCTGGGAAGGAACAAAAAGAAGTCCCTGATCTTCACCAAATATTTCAAACTGACTATAATGTGCATGCCAACCAGACCACCTGCCCACAAAAAGTAGCAGCAAGTTCATACCGTAGGTTCTGGATGGAAATTCTAGATGAAAAGAGAAGAACAGGAGAAGGAGGAAAGAACCTTTCTGAGAAAGATGTAAGAACAACTCCAGAGTCCTATTTCCTAAGGACTGTCATAGATCATGGAGGTTTAGACAAGGATGCTTTATTGACTTTGATATATTGTTAACATAATGAATGGGAAAGAGTAATGTGCGAGTGTTTAGATCCACTAGCTTTGAACTCTACAACACACTTTGGTGCAGCTAATCAGGCCAAATGTGTGTTATAATCAGTAAAATAAACTACAGATCATCAGTTCACTTCAGTTCATATATAGTAGACATTCACTATGTGTTGCAGAGTTGCATATAGGCTGTCCATTTTAACCAAATAATTAGTAGACATGGTCTAGACCAGTGGTTCTTAACCTTTGTTACTCAGATGCTTTTGAACTGCAACTCCCAGAAGCCCCAGTCAGCACAGCTGGTGGTGATGGCTTTTGGGAGTTGCAGTCCAAAACTCCTGAGTAACCCAAGGTTAAGAACCAGTGGTCTAGAGGGGTGGGGTATAAATAAATAACAAAAAGTTAGCTCATGAGAATCCCATGAAGGTCTTGTGCAAAACAAAAATTAAGAGGCAGGCTTAATTTTTCAATGCCATCTTCAATGCCAGTGATTGCTACAGTACATAGCCACAACCTCTGTCCTATCTGTAGAGAGGGAGTATCTTCATGGTTCTCAGAAGCAGGTGGAGGCAGCCACAGAGGTGCAATAAATTGGGCCACAAATAAATACTAAACCATTGCTAGAAAAACACCTGGCTGGAACTGAGATATTCATGGATATTTAGTCATCTAAATACAGGACCTGATTGGATAGTTCAGTGAGTCAGGTATCTGGCTACGGAGCCAGAGGCTGGGAGTTCAGTTCCCCACAGTGCCTCCCAAAAGAGCCAGCCTGTGTGGCCTTGGGTAAGCTGCACAGTCCCAGGTTGTCCCCCAAATAAGGGAATGGTAAACCACTTTGGAGTCTTCTCTACCTAGAAAACCCTGGAAAAGGCCACCAGGAGTCAGAATTGACTTGACAGCACACATTCATTATTTTTTAAATAAGGGAAGGTCCTATTCCATTAGTCAGAGATGGAACATTTCTTTGCAAACATTTTCCATAGCTTTCTCACAGTAAGACCATACTTTTCCTGTTGAGTTGCGTGTCAAAGAAGCAGGCAACTGACAATTACAGGTGCTGGCCCACAAACAGACTGGTAGCAATAAACATTTAGGTTCTAAAAGGAAACTTTACTGTTACATTGCATCTTTCATATAGGTGTTGTTTGGTGGAGTTTTTTTGCAGCATTTAAATGTTTTGACAAAAACAAGAAAATACAAGTACTTCTAAAAGGAAACTTTACTGTTACAGTGCATCTTTCATGTAGGTGTTGTTGTTTGGTGGGGGTTTGTTTGTTTTTTTGCAGCATTTAAGTGTTTTGACAAAAACAAGAAAATACAAGTAATAATTCCAGGAGTGATAACTTACTGATCAGTCTTGTTGGCTGCCCTGCCCCCACTGCTGCCTGCCTGCCCCTTTCCACTGCCCCTGTCACCTCCTTACCTGGTCATGCCACCTCCTCTGGCCTTGCTTCCCTTCCAGGAGCCGGGCTTGCTATGCTGGTGAAGGCAGGCATGGCACAGTAGAAGGAAGTACACACACACCTGTGCCCCCCCCGCCTCTGCTGTCACTGATACAGCAGGCCCGGCTTCTGAAAGAGAAGCCACGCCTCCTGCTGTCTCTGTGCATGCACCTGCCTATCAGCTGATATCATCACTCGGCCTATCAGCTCCTTCCAGGAGTTGGGCCTCCTGTCTTGGCGGCAGGGGCAGCAGTGGCAGCACAGCATGGCAGGAGAAGGTAGACCCCCCCCCAGTATGCCCCTCCTCTCTAGTTCACAGTTTGGTTTTCCAGTCCATTCATGGTGATTCATGGCTCATGGCTAACCATGAAACATCACAAGCTACCATTTTTCAGTGCCCATCTCTAGATGTAACAAAGGCACATGTTTTGCAACAAACAAGGAAGGAAACGGTCCTTTCATTTTATACTGCATCTGTATGTATCAAGTCTTAGTCCACAGCCCTAGGCAGACATATATCTATGCAAGAAATAACATACACACAGAGCTGGGTTGAGGTTTCCATGGCTGCTCAAAACAAATTTAAAAAGATCTAATTTCTCACTTATGTCAACTTCCTTTTTTCTCTCAGAAATCAGATTCAGTAGAAGTTTCCAGGATACCCATAGCCCAAGTCTATGGCTTTCTAGAATTATGGTCTTAATAAGTATTAATAAAGCAGCTCAGTAGCAATTCCATAAACTGTCATAAGGAGTTCCAGCAAATCTTTTTAAGGTGCTGATGAAAGCTCTTATTGTCTATTCAGTGTCTTAATATGCAAATGTAAATTATGTAGACTCATGGGGATAGAAGAAACCCGAATGTAACTGCTGATTTCAAAATTGTGAACTAAAATCTTGTAAGGACTTAAAACACTCATGTGGGGGAAAAGGCTATAAAATTAGGAATAATAATGAATTATCATCTCATTCCCATAGCAAGTGTTCAGTAGAAAATACTAAAAATTTCATTCTTTTAGTTTCCCGTAACAATAAGACCAAGGGTGATTTACAATGATCTGTTCTTGCATTCACGTTTTCCCTTTTGTAGAAGCAAAGTCCATTTTTCCCCTTTTATATAAAGGAAGGTAATTTGCTTTTGCGAACTTTCTTAAAAATATTTAAGAATGAAGGAGGGTGCACTGGTTCATAAGATTTCAGTACAACTTTCTCAGCTAGTTTTCTAGCTGAAATCCCAGTATGTAAATAATTAAAACATTAATCCTTTCCCCCTCATTTGACACCCAAATGTTAAGGATTACATGATGAGAAAGTTGCAATGGAATCTTATGAACCCTGAGTACAGTCTTTCCCCTTGACTTATTTATGTGACTCTGAGACATGGCCATCTTCCTTTGGCTAGAATCCTATTGCCCTGCCAGCAGAGTGTTCCTCTCTACTTGTGCAGTTTCATGCAATATCCAGTGTGCAAATCACCCCATTTACACCTCACTAAGAAGGTACTAAGTATCTCCTTGCTCAAGCAAGGATCAGCATTCAAGCAGATTAAACAAACAAAATTCTGGCCTTTGTGTTGAGTCCTTTAATTTTGCAAAAAGAACTGGTAGAATTTTGTTCAGAAACCTACACATTTGGCCAACAATGTCTTGAAAATACATCAAACCAACTTCACAGTCAGGCTGCTTTTGCATTGCAACACAGTTTTCTGGCAATATGATGAGGAATTTTATATAATACTGGTAGCAGATTAAAGAGCAAATAATTTCAAGAAAACATGTTCTTTATTAAAGGAGGAAAGGCAAACATGCACATGTTCTGTATCTAAACTCATATTTTGCTGCTTCATTGGAAAACAATAAGCAAGAAAAAAAGATACAAAAAGACTTTAGAGAACTGTGTCCAGCATTGTTATTACCTGCCAAGCAATCAGGTCTTTGAGTCTGTTTAGTTTCTCCTGATCCTCTGGGTGGTCCCTGATGTACTCATCTGTGAAGAAAGCCTACAAGCAGAAAACAAATCAGACAATCTTTCTTTTTAACACTGAAACACTCAATGTTGTCTCCAGGGTTGTGTTGCTGGTACAGTAAATCAAAGGATTACTTAATGTACAAAGCAACCATCCAAGTCCTTACCTTTTCATATTTAGCAAACCCTCCCATAACAGCTGGATCAACAATTCCATTCAGAAGCATGGACAGAGGGTTAATGGCAAGGTTCTCGTCACTTTGGTACTGATTAACCATGGCCAAGATCTTCTCATTTGTCATAGACATTGTTTCAATGGCATTCTCCAGAGGGCTAATTGTTGTCTATATGGGAGAGAGATTAAAAACACTCTTTGTTTCATCCAAAACTTTATTACTTATACATTAAGCGGATCCTGCATTCATAATACAGTGGCAACTTGGAAGTTATTTAACATTTAATCAGAATTTCCCATGTGAAGCGGGGAAAGGAATATACGTTGGATTACTTTTTTAAATAGAGAGAATGAATCCATTGCTAACATAATGCTTTATAAAGTCATAGACTGAGATGAAACAGCATTTGGCAACTTTGCCTTGCATTCCTATGGGTTAAGCTATGCAGTCACTATAATCAGAATTCTGCTACACACCTGTGACATTGCAATAACCTCAAACCAACGCAGGATACCAGGGAGTTTGTAAGCCGTAACAAAAGACGTTCTCTCGATCCACATAGACTATTAAAAGACACAAAGAGGGAATATTGTCACAGTGAAATCATATTGTTAGGATGGTAAGCGATCACGGTAACTGGAATAACAGAAGTGCCTTTCCTGACATGATGTGCTATTTAAAAAGAAAGAAAGAAAGAAAATTAAATACAGAAGAGATAGCTTTACAAATCCAATTCTAAACGATGGCACTCTTATTCAACCTGCCAACAGAAGGAGACATCCAGTCACTGAAGGGGAAGCGGTTTAGTAGAATGGACACATATTAGATTAGAACTAGGCTGATAATGGAGTAAAAGGTTTGTCTTTAGCATTACCAACAAATCATTTATGACTCCACTTGGCTTGGGTATTATTTAATGACAGGCTGAAAATTATACGCAATACTGTAGATAAACCCATGCAATTTACTAAATGTAAGTTCTTCATTGAAATGTGCTTTAAATTTCACACAGTAACATGAAAATCTGACAACAATGAACCACCAATTCAAACAGAACCTTTAAAATGTCTGCATCTCTGTTGTTCTGATCACCATTATAACGGTAAGGGCACACTCCTATTTCCTAACCCATTCAACCAACCCCCATTTGCACTTCATCAGTTATTTCTGGCTGCACATATACAAGTTAGTTTCTGAAGCCTGCTACTTTGCCTATTAGTGAGCCAAACTTGATTATTACTCAAACTACAATCTTACACATACTTAGGTGGGAGTACATCTCATCATACCTTGGATATTTCTGAATAATAATGCTGAGGAAAAGCAGGCATATTTTTGAGTTTCCCTCAAGTGGATATTAGATTGTATTTCTGCATTACCTCCATTTTAAATGTTCTGGCCATAGCATACCATGAAACCAGAATAAATATGCTCAGCACTTGATTCTTTCTCAGCTCTCATGCAGGTAAAATCTATCCCAGAGGTAGCAGGCCAGGCTGGTCTCAAGGTAACTGTTGGCCCTTAAGATACCAATAACTGGATGAAGGCATAGTTCTCCCAGCCCTCAGTGTGCTACAGAGGCATTTATCCATCTTTCTCACTACACTCAACCCAGCCTCTGGATATAATATATTGTTCAGCTTGAACATTCACCATACATCAACTTTGGAGACATACAGTCCTGGACATTTCTAGAAAGGAGAATATATATATATTTTTAAAAAAAACTTACAGCAAATTCATTTTCAGGGTCAACGGAACCTTTTCTGACTGGTCTTGAATAATGGAATCTTTGCACATAGTTAGACTTATAAAAGCTACAAGAAAAAAAATGGCAGCATATTAAAAGAATAGTGGCAATTTGGAAGAGGTCAGATAAGAATAAGAGAAAGCTGGCAAAAACATTTGATGGAGACACATTCAAGAGCAAGGATGGCACAGTGGAAAAATACAAAAGCACAAAACAATTAGTAAAACATTCAAGAAAATAAAGTGCTGAATATAATATAAACATCAGGTGTTCCTCGCTGGAAAGGATATTCCACAGACCAGGCACCAGCACTGAAACATCATCCTCTCTCACAGATACATGCTTTTGCTTCCTTTAGTAAGGACACCTGGGAAAGGCCTCAGTTAATGAATTTTAGGTTCAAGGTAAATAAATACAGAAGGAAATCTTTCAGGCAATTTCACCACAAAATATTTAGAGCATCAGACATTAAAACTAGCACTGTAACTTGAGTCCTGAAACAGATTGGCAACTAGTGCAGATGGCAGAGTACTGACACAATGTGATTTTGCCAATTAACAGCCTTGCTGCCCTGTTTTGGTCAGGCTGACCTTCATAAACTCCTTTTTAAAGGTAAACATCTGCATAATACATTGCAATAACCCAAACAAGAGGTTGAAAAGTCATGGATGATTCTTGCCAAGTTATCTCAATCCAGGAAGGGAGCTTATTCAATATAAAAGCCTATGCCAATGCATGGTGGTCCTAGCTACTAGAGATACCTGTGTTTCAAGGGGCAAGGAAGGGTCACAATTATCAAGCTACAGAGCTGATCATTTAGTAGAAGTGGAGATCCTTTCAGCATCAGACACATTTCTTGCAAATAATAATTGTGTTGTCTTATTAAACCGTGCATTATTGGCTCACTTCTAGTCCACTGTCCTAAGATTAACTATTTCATTTATATTAAAGGGAAAAGAGAGGTACAGTACAACTGAAACTATATGCACAACTGATGGCATCTCATCCCAGTTTTCTAGATGAAACCAGCAGTTTCATGTGACGGTTGAAAGGCATGTGGGGTAAACTAGATCCTTGTGGAACCCTACAACACAACTGCCATGAATATGAGCATCTCCTTGACTCATTGGGGGTGCAACTCCCCCCCCCCCAAAAATCTCAGAGGGAACATTATCTGATCACAAGCTCCCTATGGCCATGAGGCAAAGCCATAATTCCCTGTTATCACCACTTGAAATCAGGAACTCAAATAGGAAAAGGAATGTTGCAATACAGTATATGCAATAACAACACAAGCAGCCTGCCCATAAAATATAAAGACTTATATAGGTTCAGGTCTCAACAACAGAAACTGGACCAGATAGTGTTCTTGATATTGCTGACACTGAAAGGTACAAACCTAAATCATGATTCACAAGAGTCATAATGACTTTTGTAAACTAGTCATGATGTGCCACCAAGCAAAAGAGTCTCTCTCCCTCCCTCTCCCTCTCCTTTTCCATCTCTCCCTCTCTTCCCCCCTCTCCCCCCCTCTCTCTGAAGAGCTGTGCTGGACACTAGTGTGAGGATCCTATAGAGGTAGAAGAGACATCCTGTAACTTTTTCACTGAAAATATTTAACCAGGGTCTCTCAACTTGTCTTTGATCTAGCACAAGTCTCTCTCCACCTCCATTCTAGCCATCCTCCCTCTTATTTCATTGTCCTCACTTCAAAGGTACAGTGAAGGCACTGTGTGGGTTCTGCAAAGAGTAGGGGGATGTTTAGGGAGGACTAAAACATGTATGTGTCCCACAGACTGTCTGTGCCAGAACCTATCAGAAGCCATTAGCCACCAGGGCCAGATCATTTGAATGGAAGGCTGAATTTAGTTAGTGGTAAGTACTCAGCATTGGGCGTTGACTTGGTGACAACTCACTCTACACACACCTTCCCTTATCCTTGAATCACATTTGTTCTCAGTGCCCATAGAAGGGCAGGAAAAAGGGCCGGAGAAAGGTCATTAAAAGCTTATCTTGAGAGAAAGTCTCCAATAGAAACAGACAACAGCTTTTTGATAAAATAGAATTTTTTTAAACATAACACTGTTTGTTAGATGTACACTTTTCTTCTGCCAAACTCTTTTAGGTGTTCGTATTATTTAATCTCTGTTTGACCATGGGCAGAAAGTAGATAATACAAAGTACATTGATATGCAAATATAAAAATCCAAGAAAAGAGATACACATGTGGCACACAGAAGGAAGCTTCTCTCAGATCACCTCCAGTGACCTTAAAAACTATTTGTCAGCTCTAGCCACAGACTGTGAGCCCCTTCCCAGAGTTGGGGATCTATCGCTTCTCTATTCTGCTCAAATATTATGTGGTGGCTATATATACTATAAATATTAACTAATAGGAGTAGCTGGCATGAGGTGTTTTTGTCTCAAGGGTATGATCTAAGTATTGTTTCTTAATGTTAAGAAGTTTTCAAACTTAAAAAAAACCCAGAAACATAAAACAGTACACCTAGTTAGAAATATTATATCAAAATCGATAGAAGCCAACATTATTTTCAGAGGTCAAAAGAACATGAAAGTCCACCCAGCCATTCTGAATGGCAATTTGCTGAAATCTCACTCTGCAGACATGGCTGCTTCTGCGCCCAGTCCAACAACTCCCCCCTTCCCTGTTTTATTTATTCTTTTATAGACACACATAAAGTACTATGTTTTATGGCGAGCTGTAAATGACCCGGTAAAGCAGATGATATTTTCCTTGCTGTTACGTGCGATATTTCAACCACTGTTGAAGATATAACAAGATCAGCTCTTGTGGCAATTCCACTTATAGTGCAGCAATCTAGACTCTCAAAAGCATGGAGCCATAAAACAACACCACTTCGTGAAAGGTAGGCAAGTCTTGGGGAAAATATCTAATTGAAAATGAAGCCAAAGTGCCACCAATATTATTTAATGATACTGCATAACACAAAAAGAGAGGGAGAAACTCTCAGCTTTTTAAATACCCTGCTGAAGAAACTTAATAGCTAGTCTTCAAAAAAATAAAATCGTCACAAATGGCCAATGATGAACAAATCCCTTTTTCTGCTGTGCATCTGAGAATAACTTTATTGATACTTTTTTTAAAAAATGAACAATGCCCTCCAGTCAGTAGATTAACATATCAGTGGTAAGGCTGAGTTTTTTTTTCTTTTTAAAAAAATCTATGTGTGGCTTTGTGTGCATGTGTATGGGTCTACTATATAAGAGCGACACATAAATATTATACACAACAGTAAGATACAAAATAAGAAGCATATTACATTTGTGATACTGAGCTCTAAATTTGCTGATATTCATTCACATAGAAAATGGGTGGTGGTGGGAGGAGAAAGGTGGGCACAGCCGGGCCTGCAGAAAACCGTCTCGAACTGTTAGGAACATATGGACCTCCAGATTTTTTGGACTCCAAGGATTTAATCCAATGTTTATTTTCAACTAGAACAGACCTGCTTAATCAACATAGCTTACAGAAATGTTATCCTATGGGTTACAATAATAAACAAACAAAAGAAAGTAAAAGTAAAATTATTAAAACTATGTATATACTTTAATTTTGTTTAAAATATTTTTACCCTGCTTTTCTCCTTAAAAGGACCCAAAGTGACTTGCATCAGCAAGAGACAATATTTAAAAGTTAACAACAGTAAGAATACAAATATTAAAAGTAACCAAACAGATACCACACTAAAAATGATGAACAAAATCAACACCAAAGACAGATTCAAAGCAGCAAAGCTCAACACTCCATTTAACCCTCCCTCTCAGACAACCAGTCACTCTAAAGAGAACAATGTTTGTCTGCTTGCAGAAAGACAGCAAAGATGGAGTGCGACTAGCTTCCTGTGGGAGGGAATTCCAAAATCTGGGACCAGCAACAGAGAAGACCCTCTCCTATGTCCCCATCAAGCACACCTGTGAAGATGCTGGGATTGAGGGGGGGAGCCTCCCCTGATGATATTAACACCCGGGCTGGCTCATAAAGGGAGATGGGGTCCTTGAGAGAGATCCAAGCTGTTCAGGGCTTAATACATTAAAGCATCCTCTGCTGATCCACCATCAATACCCTTAGGGCAGTATTTATTTATTTATTTATTTATTTATTTATTTATTTATTTATTTATTTATTTATATTTGATTTGATTTGATTCGATTCGATTCGATTTGATTTGTATCCCGCCCATCAGTACCAAAACAGAAGGAGTGTTCTATAAAATACTGCTCAGAAACTGCCAAATTATTAAAAAAATATGGGCACATGTCCATATCACCAGTAACAGACTTTTATAAAGGTTCTCTCAGTCATGGAATAGATTAACCTGGAAGTTGCTGCTGATCTGCTCCAGGTAAAATTTGGGAGACCAGGCACCATTAAAGAATGCAAAGAAAGAAACCAAAATAACGAGGTTTCTGTTCCCTATGGAAAGATGTTTTCCGCTTCTTCCATTAATTTTGTGCAACTATTAATCTACCAAACCTGAATGAAATCTGTAAGGGGAATTCTTAACCCTCTTGCCTCACAAAGTTTCTAATTCTTTCCTGCCCCACAAGAAAAAAAAAAGGGGGAAACAGATCAACATGAATTAATCTTGAGCAAAACAGAAGATCTCAGAGACTATGAACGGAAATGGAATCAAGATTTGTCAAAAGCTTTGATGCACAATGAGACACCAAAATATAAACAGTTTACTCATTATGCCATCATGGCAGGAAGAAAGGAGATAGAAACATAAATCAGACAAATGACAGAGGAGTGTCAGAAGGAAGGGATGTGGCTGAAAAGATTAGGAGTTTCAGCTTCCCCAAAGACACAAAAAAATCATCCCATGGCCCTAAGAGAGTATATTCACTTAAGCTGTCTTTATTGTTAGCAGATTCTCTTCCAAACTTAGCACTATAGAGTGGCTGCCACCTTCCCATTACTGTACCAATGACTGATGGAGACAAAAGCACAAAAGGTTCTGTCTAATAGATGACAGCTATTGCATTACATTTGAATTATCATTCTCTTCCTTCAGCTGCATTTGGCAGCATTAGCCAGATTGGTAGTTCAGCAGAAGGTTTTTTCCCCTTAATGATGAGGGGAAAATAAACTTAAGCATGACAGATGGAAGGACAGGTACAAAGACTTGCACACACATGTTTTCAAGGTGTCCCTTATTAGGCTGGTAATTTGTATGCCTCCTGGTACAACACTTTTTATATTAGCAATTGGATCCAGCTGGAAAAATGCCTTATGTTGCTAATGGTAAAAATTACTTATATAAAGATTATCTCTTTGCTGTTGATATTTAAAGGACATATTTAGGGAACTCAAGATGTTGTCTTATCGAAAATCTGAATCTGCATGTGAAGCAAATAATTCTTAGATTCTTTTAATGATAGAATGTAATGTCATCCTGTCACGTGTCTCCCACAGCTTCCTGACAAGGAAAGGAATTACATGGAAGCAGGATGAAAGTAGGAAGCTTTTAATTTAATATTTTAATATGATTTTTCTTCAGTGCTGCCTTGGATATACAGCATTATGCTGTGAAATAAGATGAAAATAAAAGTAAGTCATATCAGATTCTTGCTATGTAAAAAAAATTAAGGTATGTAAAACAGAAGGCTTTGAAAGTAAAGTGTTTCTTTGCCACCACTAATTTGGTCAGATGGAGAAACCTGTGGTGCAATTATTATAGTACAGCTCATTCCATACACAAACGTACTGTCCCCACACTTCAGCTGTGCTGCCTGGGTGATTCTGGGAATAATGGTCCACAAACAGTACATTTTCTAAATGCTGTCCCACACTATCAGGCCTCCATTTTCTGTGGAAATATTAGCTGGTAACAGCTCACAAATCAGGAGAGAATGTATTTCCGGGTCCTGTTAATACTTCTTACTGAATATGATTAAATGAATTTCAAATGTATATGGTGCTTAGAGATGTTGAAATCAGCAAAACCCTTGAGGTTCTCTTAATTCCACTTCATAGCTTGTTTGGGCTTAGATCTATACCAGATTGTGGGGAGGTAGGCATTCCCCCATAGAAATGTTGCATTTATTTCTATTTTTAATATTATATGTTTTTGTGTATATTACATATAATGTTATATATTTTTGTGTACTTTTTTGAAATTTATGCATTTCTCCTGCCAGGTAAAGCATGCTCATTCATTTTTCAAATATGTACACTTTACATTTGCGTTCTTCAATAGTAAGCATTCACTGAACATTTTGGGTGCTGTTGCACAAATGTAAGTGTGTCAGGGGAATGGCTTCCCATTTCTGAACATCTACTCTGTCTAGCTTGACATAGAATCAACTTGAAGCAGATGGTAGGAAAGCAAGATCACAATTTTAATAACTCTGTGAGACAATCGGTCTCAAGGATTTTTATATCAACAACAAGAAACATGAATCAAACTTACTTGATGATCTGATCGGGCACTGGTTTGTTTTTGAATCGAGGATGCTCTTCCAAAACTGGCTGTACTGTGAAGCACTGTATGTCTAAAACCAAATCAGTTAAGGACATAAGGAATAGATCATATTCAATTATACCCTGTTACAGGTTACAACCAGCAGCATGGAAACAAACAAATCTTCACCAAATATATCTGAGATTAAAAGCTCTACAGTCAAGAATATTGGCATCGTTATCTGAATATTGAGGTTGTGAAGAAATTTATTGTTCTCACCCAAGATAAGCTGTGTCAACACTGGCAAGCCCCTAATAATGAGATGAGTGCCTTTTGTGCGTGTTGCTGTTTCTGCATTTTGCATAAATTTAATATCTTCTCCTTCTGTGAAGCGAAGTACACAGAAGAGCAAGAACAGAAAGACAGGGTGATTAATCACAACAAAGCAAGTGTGATTGGGTTCTTTGTCTAGCGTAGGCGGGCCTAGGGATTTGGCGGGAATGACAGTCGGGGTAGACGTTTTTGTTCCAATCAACTCAGGTTTATTAACTTTAACATTGGTTAAGTCCGGACTAAACGGGTCCAACAACTCTGCATCTGTTAACAGGGTATACTTCTTAGGTTTAACAACTGTTCCAACATTCCCCACTCTTAACGTCTCTTCACTCCAGGGAGGAGGGTTGCACCCGAATTCATTATGGGAATACTCAGTACCGCACGTCGTCCCACAACAAGGATGCTTCAGGACAGCACCCTCTAGCCTCGGTAGAAAGGAGCTGGTTCCACAAGGGGTCCCGCAAACCTCCCAAGGTTGAGTAACCGAATCCACTTCCTTGTTCCATCCCTTTCTTTGCTCACCTGCTCCCTGCTTCTTTAGTTCTTTGGGCAAGGGCAGCAGTCCATCCTCCTTCATGAGGTTTGGAAAGCTTTTTACCAACCGGGCTATTCTCTCTCGTTCTGCTCCTGTTTCATCCGTCTGAACCCGTCTTTCCACACTTTCCGTTCTGCCTCTACCTCCCGCCTCCTCTCCTTTTATCTCCTCATCCCATCTCCATACACCCGACTCCTCCCCCCGATCCCTCGCTCTTTCCGCCAGGAACACTTGAACCGCTTTATTTGTTCCGCCGTCATCATCATCCAGTTTTATTAGTTCCCCCACGACACATCCTTCACTTTCATCTTTTGGCTTTTCAAGTGAGGACGGCTCACTCCTGTTCCTCCACTCACAGCAAGCAACCCATCCAATGATTCTAGTGTTTAAATATCTGAATCTCACATATGCTACCTGAAGTGCTTTGAGTCTGTTTCTTACCAGGCAGGACATGTGTAAAAGACAGATTTGCCATAGTCAACATACTTCTTTGGTCTTTTGTATTAAATGATATTGCTTAGGTTTCAACATTCATACATGTGTTTTGTGAAATTAATGAAAATAATATAATAAACACAAATAAAAACCCACTAATACATAATAGTAGTATTAAACCAATAAGAATACTAAAAAACACAGTTTTAAAACACTTGAAAACATACTCACTATTTAAGTCTAGGGAGCATCCTATAACAGCCCCTATCTGATCCAACTCCATTGCAATTCAGTTACAGGGATGGTTAAAGGGGAAAATCTTTGCTTGCCAGCAGGACAAAAGGAGGAGGGCCAACGTGCTTCCCAGGAGAGCACATTCCATGGTCCAGGCAGCCACTGAGAAGGTCCTCGGCCTTTAAGGATGATAGTGACAGGACCAAGAGAAGGGCCTTAATGAAATGAAAGAGGATGGAATATTCCTTGCCTCCTCTCCTTTTATCTCCTCATCCCATCTCCATACACCCGACTCCTCCCCCCGATCCCTCGCTCTTTCCGCCAGGAACACTTGAACCGCTTTATTTGTTCCGCCGTCATCATCATCCAGTTTTATTAGTTCCCCCACGACACATCCTTCACTTTCATCTTTTGGCTTTTCAAGTGAGGACGGCTCACTCCTGCTCCTCCACTCACAAGTAGCAAAAATATAAACATGACCTCTAAAAGTTAAATCTAATTGCTCAAAAGAGAAATGCAGTTTTCATAATAAAGCAGGACACTTCTGGTGGCAGTTATACATGATGTGTAATCCCACACATGTACAAAGTCTATTTATCATGGGAAATTGTATCTTTTGACACTCTAAAAATGATCAATATTTTCAAGAGCTTCAGCTAAGGCTTTGGCTATCTTTAGCTGTCCCCAAAGTTTCTCAAGGACTCAGTGTAGAAAGAAGTTTAGTGTCAGATCCAGATCATGCTTCTCACAGACACTTGATATTAAAGGGGAAGCACACTGGCCTGTATTTTTCTGACAAATGTCACTGGAGGAATGAGAGAAATAACCCTGTTAACATAGTTCCCTCACTAAAATCTGCCTTTGCTTGCCAACAGGAGGACAAAAGGAGGAGGGCCAACATGCTTCCCAGGAGAGCACATTCCACAGTCCAGGCTGCCACTGAGAAGGTCCTCGGCCTTTAAGGATGATACTGACAGGACCAAGAGAAGGGCCTTACTGAAAGAAGTTAGGATGGAATATTCCTTGTTAATTTCAGCAGTAAGGTGGAAATCTCTTTACTTACCACCCTTTTCCCATGTGACCATGACTCTTGGTTTCCAAAATGGGCAGACATAATTTTCCCCCATTTTCCATTCTAAGCAACATGCATTAGCATTGGCACATTCTACTAAGATTATAATTTTTTAAAAAAAATCAATGACATGCCATTGTTGCAGATAACAGTGCTTTTCTCCACCCACGTGAGTTTAACTTGTGGAGGATGATGACTAAATATAGTGAAGAAAATGACACTAGGATGAACTAGATGAAGATCTTAGAAAAATTACTTTTTCGACTACAGGTCCTAAAAGCCTCCATGGCCAGCGCCTGTGCTGGTGGGAGCATTTGGGAAGTGGTAGTTCAGAAAGTAACACTTCCATGTTCTGGGTAGAAACATACCAGTGAGGTTGTTTCCAAGTTTAATCACGGGGCAGCATGTGTCATCTTCTTCTTTACAGCACTAGATAGAAAGTATTTGGTGATCTTTTTAAAAATTGCAGCTTTGTTGATCATGTCAAAAACAACATGAGGCTTTTCCTTCTTTCTAGGGCAGTGGTTTCCACTTGCCTCACAAATGCTATAGCACTACAGTTCACAAAAATCCCATTCAGCAACATCTGGAGATGTTCACTTTGGAATCATGGCTCTAATATCAATGCACTTTGGTTCCAGTTTTTTTACCTAGACCCGAACATAGGTTGCAGTGCACCCAGAAAGGTTCACAGTTGGCCATTAAACAAGCAAAGTTTTCACTTTGTATGTTCTGTGGCTCTTAATGTCGAACTGTCAGTACTGGAGGCTTCTAGAAGCAGAAATAGAAGGTTTAGAATGAAAAAAATATTTGGGTGTGTGTGGATTCGGTGGTGGTCCTGGAGCACACAAAAATGTCCTAGGTTGCCTACATGTGCTCTAGCGTATGCATTTGCTGTCCATATTTTTGTACTGGTTAAGCAACCCAAACTGCTGTCACACGATGCAATAGTATATGTACAAGAGAGAATTAACTCCACAGTAAAGTATCCTTCCTGTGGGCCCCTTTAACTCCTGGTTGGGACTAACACAGCGAGTCAATTAAATCTGGAGTTCTGAAAGGAATCAGGCTCTCAGTTTACAGTTCAGAGGTCATCGTTTGGGAAACTACTGGCCAGATGAATGTCATGGAAGCATCCCGGTTCTGTCCCACCCTTGATGTTAAGTGGCGATGAAAGTGATTAGTGCATGGATGAGAGCTTGAAGGGAGACTTGTGGAAGCTGCTCTGAGCTTTCTAAAGAAAGAACAAAATATCTGTCTGTGGTATGAATATATCTATTTTTAAAAAGAGCTTCTGGCAGCTTAAGATTATTTAATACACTGCAAGATTACAGAATGGCTAATTTCCATATAGCGCCGATCGCAATTTACGCATGAGCTTCATGCAATGTCCTACGTGATTTTGATAAAATATGTGGTCTGCAGTTTTAAATAAAATCCTTTAAGGGGAGGGGCTCATGCCTACCCATTGTTGAGTGGAATTGTTGCAGCATGCTAGATGAATAAAAGCTGGAACAATTTTTGTTGTTATTATTAAAATAGCTCTTCAAAATTACACCCTACAGGTAAGAAGCACCAGTCTGGTTTTAAAAAGGCTAACGTACGCATGTGCAACAGTTTTCTTACCCAGAATACAAAGCTCAGGAAAAAGGGAAGGTGAAGGGTGAGTAAAGAACAAGAAAAGCTTGGTTTTAAAGTGCTTTTAGCTTGAGTGTTGGGGCTCGAGAAATGGAAGCAGTGATGTTGTTTTGACAAGGTGTTATAAAACATTCTTGTAGAAGGCTTATGGTTTTTCAGAGTTTCTTTGTCCGCTTTACAATGTGAGTGCGGGCTTTTAAAAGTCATGCCACAAAAATATCATCTTTCTAAACTGACAGCTTAACATGTAGAGATGACATATTAGCATTCTGTTATATGTTCTTCCACCAAACAAATAGGCAGAAAGCAAGAAATATTGGCCAGAAGCCCCTTGGTGTTTGCATGAGATTTGCATAACTTAACACAGGCAACTGCAGCTAATTGACAAGCCGCCAGGGCATGCTTCAGTCACATGCCTGATTGTGCAACCAAGCCTGGCATCTTGTCATTTAGCAACAATTAGGTGCAGCAAGATATGCAAAATATATGGAACACCAGTAAGATCCTGGTTAGTACACCACCAACACAATGAGAAAACAGCCAAAATAGGTACCGTTGTTAGCATTAACAAAGCTCCAAACACTCTGGGCCTTGAATACTGCAGGAAGCAACTTCACCTCATGTTCTATCCTACTCCCTTGAACCAAAGAGGAAACCTCCTCCTATTTCCCTTGTTCACAGTGTGCTCTGCTAGGTTACAGAACAGGGTCTTCGAGACAACTATTTAAGTCATGCTCCACTAGGAGAAATGTGCTGGCCTATATGAATGATGATATTTTCTCATCAAGTGACATTCAGGAAGGCACCCCTAAGCTATTCAATCACATGCTTTATTTTAGGTCACTTCTGCTGATATTGTAGAGGTGCTGGCATGGCCTTCTTTTCTGGCAGTCATATATGTTCATGTGTGTTTTCCTGAGATAGAATAAGGATAAGAATAAGAATAAGAATTGCAAAGCTGGAAGGGACTCTGTTAATCATCATGTCCAGCACCTGTCAAGGAGGCATAAAGGGTGAAATATAAATTAAAAATTGAAAAATGCTGTGGAATGCACACATATATTACCAATGTTATGCTAGAGGGGATGGGGAATCTCATGGGGAAATAAATTGCTTTCTTACTCTGTCAATGAGTCCTAAATACTCTGATACTTGGGTATCTGACTAGAGTCACAAGCTGTTATTATGTCTATGAGATGTACATGGGCCAGGACTTCCTGTCAACAAGAACTCTGCACATAGTAATATACAAATATCTGGGGGAGGAGAGATTTTAGTTGTTTTATTGATTCATTTGGCTCTGAATGCTGGAATGATATCCATTATCCTCTGTGCAAAGACCTTCACCAGGCACAGCTACAATTTGACAGCTGTTCCATGTACACCCTTAAGGCAGAACTCTTCATCATTCTGTCAAATTCTTCCTTTGTGAAGCTGCAGATGGACAGTAGTATTTTGGAGTGCTACAAGTGCATGAGAAAAACACTGCTGCCTGCGCTGTGTATGCTTATCTCACAATCACCTCTGGCTAGAGGGCAGATGCTTTGCATGTACGAGAGGCTCCCAAGTTCAGCCACCCGAATCTCTGGTTACAGTAGGTGCAGGGTATCTGTGACATTTCAGAGTTCAGTTGGATTCCAACTCCCTTTGGTCCCCTGAGGATGTGAATTTGATTGTGTCTCACAATTAGTGGGCACATGAGAACAAAGTGTGGTTTATTTCCTTTCCACAAAATCACTGAATAAACACTATTTCCCACAGAATGCTGCATAAATTTATGTCATTTCTTACAAAGCATGTTGTGCAAAAGGTATAGAATAGGTCTTTTTCTTGAGCAAATGTGTTCTTGTGTTCTAAAACGTATTTTGGGGAGCTGGCTGGCATCACCGACAAACAGGGAGGGCAGTGGCAGGCAGGCTGTTGGCAGAAGCAACTTTTAAAAACAATACTTGTTTGGTATGTTTTGCCTCTGGTGCTGGCCAGCTGGTATAATATACAGTATGCTTGGTAGAGGTGTGAATAATTCCTCAGATGCTGGCCAGCTGGTATAATATATGCTTGGTAGAGGTGTGAATAATTCCTCACTTCCAGAGCAAGAAGGTGCTAAAGTCCTCTTGTGCAGTTATACAAAGTGTGACTTTTAGAGGGAAACTGTTGCAAGTTAAGACATATGAGTAAACCTTCTCTGTTGCACTTGACTCAGCATGCAACAGATCTCAAGGAGATTTCTTAACTAATGGCAATTTGCCTCTTAATGTACCACCACCTGCCTTGTTCCGCAACAGGATTTCAGCCAAGGTGTGCTTCTCTGTGAAGATTTCGGCGACCTCCCAACAAAGTCTCTGCAGCAGACTGTAAATCTAGTTACATTTCCTTCTAAGACACAAAGCACACACACCACAAGCATAGAAAGACTGGCTGATAATGTTTTAAAAAAACCAAGCAGCAAGGCAACAGCAATTTTTAGTAATTTGGACTAATTTATGCAAATTACACAAGATCCATAATCTGCATAAAAACATCACATTCAATACCTAATATAGCATCCTTTCACTTTGAAAATCAAAACACACACACACACACACAGAGAGAGAGAGAGAGACCAAGTGCAGAAAATCAAGCTGATCATTTTAAACTATATAAAGAACCCATATGATGCTTCTGATTCAGAAAAATCCACACAAGGCAACAGATATAGTTTTAAATCATCGTAAATGTGTAGGCAAATGCATATGCACGATCATGCAGACTTTTTCTGAATGAATTTCTGGCTGAAATCCTGTTGCATAAGTAAGCTAATGGCATAACTTTTGCAGGCAAATTGGATAATGGCATGCAACAAATCATATCTACAGATATTTCTCGATGCCATTTGCCTCCAAAAGTTGTCCTTTTTGCATAACAGTGCAACAGGATTCCAGCCTCTTTGTGGTTCCAAACACATGTGAATGCAAGATGCATTTAACTTTCAACTAATGAAATTAGAAATTTGGTGGAACCTAAATTTTCAGATTTACCCATCACTAGGAATATCCCATTTCATTTGGGATTTTTGATTTCTCCAAAAGGTCTTGTAAGTGATGCCTCTCTTAATGTTTATTTATCATATTTATCAGAAAATGTAAGCTTTTTCCTGAGCCATGTTGGTTAACCCAAGATTTTTAATAGACATGCAACTGAAAGTGAAGGTAAAGACACATGGGGGTCACGGTGGTGGAACAGTCAAACCAACAGATGCATACCATCAAAAACAATAATATTTGTGCAGCATTTTCAATGACATGTTTATGACCACAAGGAATCCTTGGCCTTTAGAACAGAACATCTATATTAAACACTGGAAAGTCCTGAACTACATACAGTGGAACAGAAATTGACATGATTGCTGTTGAGTGTAAAGAGAGTCACAGTTAAGTACATCTTCCAGGCAAGTGTGTCTGGATAAGACATAACATTTGTACACATATTCTACTTTGCTTTATATGCTATAATTTTCCATTTATCTATGACAAGCCTTATAGACACATGTTAAAAATGTAACACATGAAGTGAACTTAATACCGCAGTGTTTAAATACTGCTGCCTATGTATACACATATAAATCAGGACTGGACAGTCTCTATGGTCTCTATGAACTGGAATTCCCACTCACTAGGAACCACACAATCTATGTCCAACAAACTTGTCATCTGAGGCAGTTTCCTTCTAACAGCAGCACCTGGTTTTAGATTCACACTTCCAAGTGACTTCTTTGGCCTTTACTTTGGCAGTGTGCATATAGCAAACCCCACTTTTTCTCATTGCCCAGGCAAATTCAAAAGCAGCACAGTTGGCAGAAGATCCAGAGGTGCAAAAATAGATAGAAGACCGTTATATGCAGACTCCAAGTTTCCCACCCTGATGGAAATGCCAAGCCATTTTTTATTCTTCCAAACAATAATTTAAGGATACATTGACCAGAAGAATTTTTTATATCCTCTCCAGGGGGTGCAGTAGTATTCATTTTTTCTGCATTTGGGAAATGGCTCATCAACTGTGCTTGAAAATCTTCTCTTCGTTCATATTCCTTGCCACGGTAGATGAACATTTTGTTCTGTAGGAAACATTTAAACTTCTTCAGAGAATATAAGTCTATGTGACTGTGTGCTGAAAGAATCTTAGTTACAGGCAAGAACATTATTTGCCCTATTCTTTTTAAAAACAGTAAAAAGTTTGAAGTAGTGGTCAGTGGGTCAAAGAGGATCCCTTCCATTCACTAAACTTTCTTGATTCATCCATTTCATTCTTTATTATACAGTCACAGACCTGAGTCAACAAACTGGCATAGTCGCTGATAAGCCGACCCCACGCTTTATCGGCATAACAGTCCTTTGCCCCCCCCACCCTTGAATGGTGCGAGACCTTCTCGGTCTCTTGAGATGTTAAAAAGAGTGGGAGGATGCACCTAGGATAAAAGGGGTGTCGTCACATCTAACCATCTCTTCTTTCTCAGACACCTGCCCACCCTATTTTCTAGTGTGAGTTTTTGGCTGGTTGCCTTTCAGGGGCCAAATAGAAATTTTTGAACTTCATCCCAACTGGCTCTGGGATACTGGGATTTTTTGCCTATTCCACACTCGTAGGGGTTGTTGGCAGTTTTAGGGTGGAATTCAGTCACACCAGCAGGTAGTGCAGAAAAAACAGGTATTTCTTGTGAGTCCAATTTTAACATCAGGTAAGCTAACAGTGCATCAGACTTCCCAGGGCTGTGAATCATGCAATTCAGCACCTGGGTGGGAAAGATGCGCTGGCCAGTTCTGGACCAACAGTCATCAAGGGAAGATGACTTGAGGTCTGAGGGTGTTTTACTAGCAGCCAGCTGGGTTCCTGCTGTCATTAAGACCATGAGAATCTGGGGCCGTGGACTCGCCCGTATGATGAAGGATTTATCTGTTTCCACACTACTGTAGACCCCCCCCTTTTGCCAATTGATTGGCAAATATTTCTTTGGAATGATTATTAATAAAGTGTGGCCTGTGATTTAATCCATACTGATTTGTCTTGTATCTTTATTCTGGGACTGGAGCGCAATGGGAACTAGGCCTAGATGTTAATTTATTGTGATGACATTTCCATTCCCACACCACTCCTCAATATGGGTTAACACCAGAGGTAAAGCTACTAGAACTGAGTGGGCTAGATTTGATTCTATAATCATTGTTTAGGGGTTTAAAACTGAAGGAAGAGAAATGTCCATGTGCCTTAGTAGAACTTGAAGGTTTAAACTACTAGTAGCAAAAAGGAATATGGAAGGACTAGGTCAGATACAAGTATGGCAAGTTTTCATACAAGATTGCATCAGGAAAATTTGCAAATATGAATGGAAGTATAGCAGATAAGATATTCATTAGATGCCCTGTTTTGTTCACTGAACTATTTGTAATTCTGGGTTTGTTGTTTCCTCATATCTTTTCTGACTACATGCCACTCCTTGATTGTACTGTCCTGTAGAAAAAAAAACAGAATGCACCTTTATCTCTCCATTACTACTACTACAAACCTCTTGTAACCTTGAAAGCAAGAGTAAAGAACACCATAAATCAAATTTATTTCTGAAAATGTGACACTCACTATTGTTACAAATTGCACTTCAGGTAGCTGCAAGAGAGAAATCCTGTGCATTGCAGAATTAAATGAAGATAAATCTCCTTAACCGAGTAACTCCATTTTCAGTGACAAATATTGTTGTTCTGTAGGGCTAGTATACACAGCTATTAAAGACGAAGTACACCTAGTAGATGCTCTTACCCTTAGGAATGTAGGAAACCCTTGGCCATAATATCCAACAGCAAAATAATCTGGTTTAGGCCTCAGAATTTTCATGATGTTTTCATAGAATTTTGCTTGCTGAATCTGAAAGCAAACACATGGGATGGATCCCTCTAACATCAAAAGACCCAGAAACTGGCTTATATGAGAAACAAATGACATCACTTTTTCAAAAAATATAATTGTGATTTGCACAATTTTCTTAAGCTTTTGCATATTATTTATTTGCAGGTTACAGCACTTTTTAAAAAAGCATTCTAGCTCACTTCTACCACTTATAAAACATTCCGAAACATGAAGAAGAAGCAAATGCAAAAGGTTCTTTGCTCCCGTTTCGCCATTTTCTTTTGTTGGGCCATTTAAGATCATTTACAAAATGCATTCTAAATAATAGTGTGTAAAAGACTATAGCCAGGAAGAACTCAATGTCACTGGTAGCATTGTCAGGTGACCTTCCCACTGCATGCTGAGTAGCAATTCCTTGAGTAATCCAGTGATACCGATGTATGGGTGAATCAACCTGGATTTAATTAAATCTCAAACCATGGTCTTTATTCCAAACTGTAATCTGGACCACAAAATGATATAAGAGAAATCTGAAGTCACAAGCAACAGAGTAGGTGTCGTTCTTGTGGACAGCCACATTCTTACCAGATTCTGGCTTAGAAGCTCATAATCAAAAGTTTCCATTTCATATTGCTCTGCCAGTTCTTTGCATAATGATATTGCTTCCTCCCACATCTAAAGCACAAAAGGATATTCAGAAGTAGAATTACATATTATAACCTCAGAGAAACAAATAAGATTGTCAGTCATCATGGGGAATTGGGGGAGGGGGTTAAATCTATTTGCTACAGAAGAAGGAGTCTTTTGGCACCTTTGCGATAGTAGGTTTTAGATGGAACAAGCTCTTGTGCGTTTGATGAAGTGGCATAAGGATGTGACTCACACATGCTTTTGCTTTGAGAGAGGAAAAGAGAAAAAGGCCTCTTCCCCTCTCACTGTGACATTTGTTTGTGTGAAATGCCCCCTTTCCTGACAAATTGCAGAGGATATCTCACAGTTTTTCACAGTCATAGGATAGTCAATTTATTCTGGAAAGCATGCCAAGTAGCACAGGACCATTATGAGTGCTATGGAGACTGGCATCATTGCTGTGCAGGATTCTCTTGTAAAGGCATCAAATTGTACAGGGTTTGGTAATTTCCTGCACAGAACAGAGGCAAAGGATAAAAGGATGAAAAATGTCATTTTCACTGGAAGACAGGAAATCTCACCGGTCCAGGGAGTGCTGACATGGTGAGACTTGGGAAACTGTAGAGACAAATAACTTATCCAAACCATCATCACATTCCTACTATAATACACAGAGAAGCCTATGTCAAATAAGTCTTTCAGGTGCCACAAGGTATCAAACTGTAAGCCAGCATTTTTTTCTTACAAAGTTGTAAGAACCTTGCCCATGTTGATAGAAATGTTTATATTGAGCCCATATTTTTGAGACCCTGCGGTTGCTTTTCTAGCAGTAATACATGTAGGTGTCTCAGAGAAGAATTCCCAGTGACCTTGCTGGCTGGGGGCCTTCAAGTTGGTGGTGGGGGGGGTGAGATTGACAAGCTCAGGCACAGCTGAAGAATTCTGGCTTACTTCATAGTCATCTCTGTTCAGAAGTTGTACAGCTGTACGTGAAGGTTCACAGAAATGGAGAACTAGAATTTCAATTCAAAGCAGAACTATTTCTGAGAGAAGACTTATGACCTCTGTGCCACCTTTGGGAGCTGACAGAAAGGCACACAGAACTTCTTGTGACAACTGATCAGCATTTTACTCTGAATCTGGATATACAAACTTTCATATCTTAGGAAAAAAAATATTCTGAGAAGACTTCCTCCTTCCTCAGGTCTGGCTATTCTTTGTACCAGACTAAACAAAGAAAACCAAGTCTATCATACACCAGTTCAAATTCACTGGCACACAATCATGTGTTTATGTTTTTAAAATCCATTTTGAGAAGATGACATGGCACACTTTTTCCAGATCAGATCTACAAATCTCCCATTTCCCATCACTGCCTGATAGTGCTGGTGTTCATGTACATATGCACTGAATCAGTTCCATATTTCCCTTTTACAATGACACAAGCTAAATGTTCTGAAAAGCAGAATTCCAAAATGCTGTCACAAAATCACACGGTCTTTTGAAATATTGCCACAGCTAAATGGAAGATGTCAGTAGCACAAGACAGAATTATTTCTGCCCACAGAGAGGATAAGCACATTTTCTGAGAGCAGCCCTTAAAGACTCCAGTGACTTCATCCAAATTCTAATGAATGAAAACTTATGTCTTTTTGAGACAAAAGCTGCTTCGACCACTAAGCTCAAAATGTGACAGATCAAACTTCACATGGCTTTAGTGGTGTCATGCAGACCTTACCATATTGGTCAGATCCCCTGTTCTAGCAGGGGAACACAGCTATTATATACCCTTAATGAAAGAACGGCACACTCCTTCTATCTGGTATGGTTGTCCTCTTCCACTGCGCACAGAGCTTTGGGAAGGACACACATGGAGTAGTGAGGGAGGAAGGGGAAACCTGCCTAGCCAGCCAGATTGGTCAAATCAGCTCTGGCAATCAATATTGCAGCTAGATCATCTTCACATCTATGAAATTGGATGAATCTTCATAGCAATGTCTTGGTGAAGCATGGTCATAGCTTTTTAAAAAAACCTATTAATAAAATTCATGGACAAACAAAACATTGTACTACTGCAAAGACTAGAAGCAATATAATTAATGAAAAGTGAAAAATGAACGGAGCTACCTTTCCCTTGTCAAAGTACTCTATGATCATCTCATACAGGTGCTCTTTCAGATGCCGATGTGTTTGTGAACTCTGAAATTCCGTCTGCATGACTTGAGGAGTACATTGTTCATCAGACCACTGAGGAGAAGAAGAAAAATACACATGGATATATTAGCACATTAGAAGAAATGAATAAACTCGGGAGCAGGCATGAGCTCTACTCCCCTTTATTTCAATACTGAGGCTCTTCTAACCTCGTGATGCATGAATTCAAACCAACTGAACTAAACAAAATCCTACAAGGGGAAAATCACTTGGATGCACAATTTGAACTAGGACAACAGAAGGTGGGGAGAAAAATTGAGCATCCCTTTCCTACTCTCAGGTCTTCCCACACGAGCTGTTTTTCCACATTTTGAAGCACCAGAGACTTGCAGTATGTCTTTATGCAAGAGTATATAATTACCCTTGAGAGAAATTTCAAAATGTCAGCAGCTTTACATGATCACAACCAGGAATTCAAGTTGATGAGTTAATACAGAAGCATGTGCCGGAAGGCCAAATGAAAGGAAGGAAGTTTCAGTGAAACTGTCAGCAGCAGCAGCACTGATAGACTTGTACTGCTAAACCTTTAAAGATTTGTAGTAGAGCTAACTCTTTCCTGCCTCCTTAACTTACGTATAAAAACATGAAGCCAGTTACTGGTGAGCACAGTGCTATAAAATATAATGCTGCAAGTCATAAAATGCTGGTGTCCTGCTGGCCTTCTCTGTGCACTCCGACCCAGCAGTAAAGGAAGAAGACAGAAATTGTGCAAATAATCATTCCAATCCTTACTTAAAAATATGTTTGGGAATTGGCAGAAGCCTGTTCTGCCATGAGAAATCCCTTTATGCCAGCAGAAATTACTCATGTGCTGGCAGAAGTCTATTCTGGCAGAAGCCCCTTCCAAAATCTGTTGGCAGATCTTAGCTCTGCTGGCCAAGATCTGCCAGCAGAAGAGAGAAAAGGAGAAAGAGCAATGGGGCAGAACAATGTTGTGACAAAACAGCCCAGATCCAAGCCTTCCTTTGCCCAGAAACACAGTGTGTGGGCAGAAAATCAAGTCAAGGTGAAGGAAATCCTTGGTAATTTCCAAGAATCTTGTGCGGTCAGTGGTTTGGATTTGGCAAAGCTTCAGCTCACCCACCGTCCTTCAGCCATTTTGGCCAATCACAGCTCCATTTCAAAGGTCAAGGCTAGCAAAACACTGTAGCATGGAGTGTTTCTTACCAGGATCCCAGTGACCCATGCATCTTTCAGGATAATCCATTCCACTCCCCATTCTGTTTTTCCCCCAGTCCTATCTTCTGGCACACATACCTGTAGACAGTCCTTTGGACTGTTTGGGTTCTGTTTCTACTTCAGCAACCCACTGTGCATACCAATTATGTCCTTTTGCTTCTCATGACCCTTCCTCTTCCTTATTTGTTAGAACAGGACTCTTTCTTCCGTATTCTGACATGCCGGTACTTTTACAACTCCAGGTATTTGACCAAGCATAAGCCACTTACTTTCAAAAGTGAAGCATGCAACAGCAGAGTATATGAAGCTTCTGTGTAGTTCTCACAGTCCAAATGAAGATCTCGAAGTTTATACAAGTACCTATTAAAAGACATAGGAAGAGAGTGAGGGAAGGAGCACCAAATCAGAAACATCCAGACTTCAGAATTGCTTTGAGTTAATAAAGAACTGACTTTTTATCATCTACCGAATGAGCAGGATCACCTCCATTAACATCCAAGTGAGTCCCACACTAAGGTATTAAATCAGTAGGTCTTACAAAATCCTTACGTTTAAGTAGATCAAGTTTTAAGTTTCAAGACTTCACCATTATGAAATAAAGCTTGAAAATGTGAAGGTGTAAAAGACACTGTACAAAGAGATTACAGTAGAACACACACACACGCATCTGCAGAACCAGTTTCTGCGGTTTCAGCTATCTGTGGTCCCCACTGCTGCGACCCAGCCCACACTGTACATACATATGTATCTCCTCCTCTCACCCTTTGTCACCTGACTCTCACTGTCTGTGGTTGCCACTGCTGTTTGCTACTTTCACACTTCTGGGGTGAGGCTTGGAACTTATTCTCTGTGGATACAGGGGTCCTACTGTATAATGAAAGCCTTGAAAGCAAACCATGTGTATGAACTTTTTCAGCCTCCTGGCTATGACAGAGGTGGTGGGCAGCTCAGCTGGAGCACATGTACTGTCGGCTGCTGCCATCAGAGAAGAAGGAGATGGAAAAGGAGGTCTCTGTAGGCTTCCTGCCAGAGCTGGTTCGGTAAAGAGCTGGCTGTTTTTAAAATCAACATCTAGGTGTGTAGGGTCTACACATATCCAAGTTACTATGCCAAGGCTGATCCGAAAACTGCCTGTGTCAGGCACTAAAGTAGTATCCTGTTCTGGACAGCTGCCTATGGTGGCGACTCTCCAGAGCAAATGTGGCCATGTGTTTTCTGGGGATGGTGCATTTGTCACTCCTCCTGGCACCCTGCCATCTACAATATGTGGACTGTCACACTGGATCTCATGATGGGGCCAACCTCGCTAAAAATACAGTTACATTGCAAGTGTTGCTCATGTGCAAGGATATATTCCACATCTAATCTGCCTTGACCAATCTGCCTGTCCTACTACTAAACTTCGAAAGATACTAATTGGGTAAATCCTATGAACGACTGATCTCCAAAAAGTAATCAAGAGCTCCGGTCAGGTCTTGAAAATTAAATGCTTGGTTTCCCTTAATTAGTCAACCTCTCTCATGTCTCCTATTGAGGGCACAGAGTTATTATTAGTCAACCAGAAACTGGGCCTTTTCACTAATGGCCGCTCTACTTTAGAACTCTCTTCCTGTGGAAGTGTGACTCACCCCCACCCTCCTGAGCTTCTGCAAGCAAATTGAAACCTGGCTTTTTGCCCACACCTTCCCAAGCACAACCCTTTTTAAATATTATAGCTGCCCGTTGTTTGCCCTCATATGTCCCAGATGGGCGGTTTTAGGGGGGTGGTAGGGTTGTTTGCTTGTTTTTAATATGTTTTATATGGTTTTAATATTTTCAGTTGTATGCTTATAATATTTTGTAAGCCACCCAGAGTAGTGGCATGCTCACTGAATGGGTGGGGTATAAATCGAAATGAATGAATGAATGAATGAATGAATGAATGAATGAATGAATGAATAATAAAAGCATTAGATCTCCTGATTTTATATTTGTTACTCCATGTAACATCCTGAAGACAATGTGAAGGAAAGCAGTCTTCAAGAGCAACAACATCAGGAGAACAATTCACCATACCTTATATACATTTCTTCACGATTAATTTCCTTGTAGAAATTCTAAGAAAAGAAAATGAATGAAATCTGGTTATCTTTGCACACAAAAGGCTTAAAAGGGTACAGTCAGCAAACGTCATTAAAGTAGTAAACATTCGACTCAGAGAATCATTACAGTTGATTACTAAAATCCCAGAACTTTAGTTTAGTTATGGATTATTTATATACTAGGTAAATGTAAAGGTTCCCCTTGACACCTTTAGTTTAGTTATGGATTATTTATACACTAGGTAAATGTGCTCATCTCTGTTTCCAACCCATAGAGCAAGCGTTTATCCAAAGACAATCTTCCATGGTCACATGGCCAGCACGACTAGACATGGAATGCCATTACCTTCCCACCGTGGTGGGACCCATTTATCTACTCGCATTTTTGCATTTAGCATGCTTTCGAACCGCTAGGTTGGCGGGAACTGGGACAAGCGACGGGGGCTCACTCTGTCATGTGGATTCAATCTTACAACTGCAGGTCTTCTGACCTTGCAACATAGAGGCTTCCGCGGTTTAACCTGCAGCGCCACCATGTCCCTTTATACACTACATCTAATTAAAACCAATACAAATAATTATCTGCAATGCACTGTCTGAAGCTAAGGCTGTCACTTAGTTTCTTAGGACACCAGTTTCTGTTTGTAAACAAAACCTTCTCTTGAGCAGACAGGATTAAGGCGAAAAATGTCTGAATTCCATGGCAGCAATCAACAAACTTTGCTTTAAATGTGTTTGGGTTTTTTGCCCGAAGATAAGTACTGTACTACGTTTCCTCTGATGATAAACATAAAATTTACTGACTTCTTGAGGAGATGGATTTTCAGGCATGATCAACTGGGCTATTTCTAGCTGTATACACAAATTGTACTTCAAAGTGGACCAGTTGTTTGGGTTCAGATATGGTTTGTAAGTTTATGTTCTCTGGAACTATAGAGTCTCTTCTGTGATATATACAGAGATGAAATGTGGTAGAGCCCAAGGCTAAGAATGTAAGCTGTGAGTCAGACAGCTCCTGGTCCACTGTTTTTATCTAAGCCACATACTCAATAGATATATTTGTACATTCTTAGCTGCACCTTTCTGTTCATAATATAAATATAATTATACCGGCCTACCTTATGCAGTTTGTGTAACCTGATGCAATTGATGTGAAGTAGCCTGAACATTCAGCACAGCTTTTATTTCCTCAGTTATGACTAGCCATGTTCAATACATTATTGCTACCACTTTATAAATTGTTTACAACTTAAGTAGTGTTTTCCCACCACAGTGGCTGGATTTCTTTGCTTTTCGACCTGAAATACTTCTGCATGCCAGCTGCCAGCTAACCACATACCAACAAATTCACGGTGCAGCTCATACGATTGTCCTTGCTCTCATCATTCATCACAGCACGGTAATCCAGAAGTTTTTCCAAGAGGCCTTTTACGAGGCTTACAAACATTTCAACTAGCTTTGCAATCTTAGTGTAACTTGAGGAACACTCCAGGAGGCTGAAAATAAAGAAAACTGCATGAGAAACCAGCATGACAGAGAAGGGATGACAATAGAAATATTTGGCAAGTGAATGAGATGGAAGGAGAAGTGATGAAGGCCACAGATGTTTACCTTTGTTGCCCAGATCACTATTGTTTTACACACAGAAAGAGAGAGAGAGAGAGAGAGAGAGAGAGAGATTGGTCCTTGGGACTGAAATACAGAACCCTGCAGTTCATCCCTTTCCAGTGATCCCCTGGAAAATATCAGCTGAGGGTACAGTGGCTACTAGACCTAGCAACTACATATGTGGTAGCTTAGTGACCTCCAGAGGCTCCAGTCATTAACAGTCCTGCTATGCTCTTGAAAACCAGGGGCCATGGCTTCCTTTATTGAAATAATCCATCTTATATTTGGTCTTCCATTCTTTCTGCTGTCTTCAGCTTTTCACAGCATCACTGCTTTCTCCTTCAAGCTTTGTGTTTTTATCATGCGTACTACAGACTCAGTTCAGTCTTTTTTTTATTCTTTGCAAGTCCCCAGAAGCTACCCACGCATGACTTAGTGAACATTTCTTTTTTAAAATGATTTTAAAATCATTCTTTTTCCAACCTAGTATATCAGCAATGTAGAAGTAGTTGAAAATGGGTCTGCTGTTAACTGTGAGCTTCCTAACATAGCTAATAAATACAGCCATCTATCAAGCTTGATTTTGACAGGCCTGCCATGCTTTTTTAAAGCTTAAGCTGCTGGATGCTGGTTAAAACTAAAAATTCATAATGAGCAAGCCATGTTTGGATTCACTAGGCGTTGTCTGGGGGATGCCCCTCTCTATAGATAGCTTTAATACTGACCCTACTTCAGCTATTTGGCTGCCCAATTATCACAGTTGTCAGTGACCAGCATGAATGTTCTCAGCACACTACCCCTGACAAACCTCCAATCCAAAGCTCAGTGAAAATATGTATCTAACAGGCAAATTTGAGTCTGAGACTCCCCCACTTCATACTTCATGTAATACACTATAACAATATAACATTCCATTTAAAAAGTTGTAACAATGACTGCCATAATAATATAATAATAATAATCTTAGTATCGCAGAGCCCTATGGATCATTGAGTCCAGCACCTGTCAAGGAGGCACAGTCGGGAATCGAACTCCCATCCTCTGGCTCTGCAACCAGATACCCAAACCACTGAGCTATAATGTTAGTTGTCTATGAAGCTAATTTGCCAAAGATCTGTGCTAGCCCAATGAGCTCCTCTAACCATCAAACCCAGAACGATCTTGTACTTCAAGGCTGGGCAATGGGTGGCTCTCCTGATCATGCTGAATTACAGCTCCCATCATTCTTTGGCTAAACTTGCTAAGGCTGATGGGAGCTGCAATCCAATAACTTCTGCAGAGTTTCTTTACTACTAGAGGGAGAACAAAACAGATGGGTGACTGACATGAATGACTGCATTAATTTGCGGTTCTTTATTCAGTGCAGAGCTGGGCGAAAGTCAATTCTGGCTGGCAAAAAGCCTGGGCAAAATCTTTGCTTGGAAACTTGAAAAGAGAGCTATGGAGTGAGTTGCATGGAACTTTCACTAATAACTTTCCTATATTAACAAGTGAGCATAACATAGGGAGAAAGTGGCAACCGCCGAATCAGAAGTGGCAACACAAAGAAATCAAGATGTACTGATCAATTGTCTTAGGTATGTATCTCTGAGAAATAGAAATAAAATGAAAGGAGAAAACTGTATGAATCGTAGCATGCCAAAGGAGAAGAATTGTATCATCATGGCTGTGTCAGGCATTTCTGACATTCCTTGGGGCATGGGATTCCCAGCGAATTCCACGACTGCATCCATTATTCTGTTATTCCACCACAACTGTACAATCCTTTGTGCCCAAGTACTTCCAGTACTTGCTCCTCTTGCTTACTGAAGGTTAAGGAGCTTAGGGGAGGCACGCATCTCAGCCCAATATTGACAGTTTTGCAGCAATCTGTTGATGACATTGTATTTTAAACTGTTCCTGCTTTTCCTTATATCCCCAGCCATCATCAGCCAGAAAATATGCTGGAAAAAGAATAGCCTCTTCAATGCAGGAAGATAATTTCCAGTCCAAACACTGAGTGAATGACACCATAAGGTTGTCTAACTGCATTCTCTTAATGGTTTGGTTCTGAGTTAAGACTGAAGATTCTTGTCCTCATACAAAGTGAAGGGCTGACCAACTTTCTTTTTGTACTAAAACAATCATTTCCTGGAAAATTACTGTGCCTCCCTACACTCTGATTTACTTCTTAATTACTAGAGCAACTAACCAATTCTATTACAGGCGTTAAGCCCGATAAATTGTACAAATTATGAAGGATACTACTTTGGAAGAACCATGACAAGAAACTAGCAAATGCTCAGTTACATTCTACAATCTTGAAATGCAATTATCCAATCTGTCCTGAATGGTTGCATTACGTACAATTCTTGATTGTATCCCTGGGCTTCATTAGCAGTCTTCATTTAAATGCAAATTTATCTTGCATTATGGTGGCAACTTTTACATAGGGAAAGCTATTATGTAATTTATTGACCTTCAGAAAAAAAATGTAATATTTTATATTTTCGTTAGACATTGCTCCTTAATGTTTTATTAGGAATGTAATTTTACCTCGAAAGGATAGGTTAAGCATCCTAGACATTGGCTTTCAGGAAGAAATATAAGTCACTTTCTTATTGGAACCTGAAATGTACTTATAATTCTTTTTAAATCTACTTGTCCTTTGCTCTTCAAAGATTTGTGTTTAGGTTGTGCTTCAGCAGGATAAGGGACTTACATGTTTTCAGAGCATTCTCTGGGCCTAGCTTTGTGTTGGAAGTCCAAACATTAACTAATAATGGACCAACTCTCAAACTTGTTATATTCAGTTGAATAATGTGTGAAAGGAAGATTTGCTCAATGCTGGGGAACTCATTTCTAGGCAGTTTCTCTTAAGTGCTGTTCTTAATTCACAAAGAACCTGAGTGTTTTTGCTTAATGCTTCTGGGAGTGCCTTGTTCATTTTTGTGTCTTTTGAATACCAATCCTTTCATTAAATATGAAAGGTACTGGTTCTTTCAGGATCTTTCGCTTAATTTGAAAGATGGCCAAGCAAAAGAGAATCAATCAAAAATTCTAAATCACTCCCCCAAAGTAGGGGTGAGGCAGGCAGTCAACAAATAATAAATTTATAAATATATAACTTATTCTTAACAGTGCATAGTACATTTAGCAATTTTTTTAAAAAAATCAGTTAAATAGGGAAAGCACTTACACGCAGGAATATTAAGGACTGTACACCCAGAGAGTGTTTATGAGAAGCACACTTTGCTTTCCCACCCTTTCTTTAAATAAAGGCAAGTTATAATCAAAACCTTCTGTCAAATCAAAACTACTCTCCTTACTATCACTCCAGTGCCTTATTTTATGGAGTCCAGCAGCCAGGCAGGCAGGGGCAGGCAGCACATAACAGGCACAATATAAAATATAGAGCACTTAGCGGACAAATTCCAATGAGAATAAATGAATCAATGAAAGAACATACGAAAGGAGACTCTTTAGCAGTCTCCGTCCCACCAACATTTTGTGTTAACACAAAAGTCCCATCAGCCCCTGTATGCTTCTTCATACCTGAATCTCTATTAGGCCCACATACGTAGCATCAAGCTAATTAAACACGTCTCTTCCTGCATTCCATCCCACAACTGTGACCAACGCAAGACTATATGGTTTCAAGATGAAGCCAGTGGGTCCCCCCCCCCTTTAGCAGTCAGTCTGATCAGGAGTTTGAGAGAACTCAAAATCTTACTCACAATTTTAGGTTCTGAACATCAATTACAATGTGTATCTCAGCCCTCTTTGAATACACAATGCAATATAAAAAGTTAAAAGTCAAAGTAACAAGACCAGACCAAACAAATCTTACTGAGAGTTAGCTCCCCTCTATTCAGCGCTGGTTAGGCCTCACCTTGAGTATCGTGTCCAGTTCTGGGCACCATCCTTGAAGAAGGATGCAGACAAATTTGAACAAGTTCAGAGGAGGGCAACAAGAATAAGCAGGGGGCTGGAAATCAAGCCCTATGAGGAAAGACTTCAAAGAACTGGCCATGTTTAGCCTAAGGAAAAGAAGACTGAGGGGTGATATAATAGCACATTTCAAATATGTGAAAGGCTGCCATACAGAGAAGGTTACGCACGCAGGAGGGGTGCGGTTGCGCCCTTGATCTGTGCAGCTGGTTTTGCTCCCCTGGCTCCAGAAGAGGCAAGCAAATGGGCCATGTGACTTGGGGCATGGGCCGGCGGCGATATAAGAAGGTGCCGGCCTGTTGCTAGCCCTCTTTTGCTTTTGGCAGCAAAAAGAGACGGACAGATTTCGCTGGCTTGGAGGCTTTGCGAAGGGGGGATAGCATTGCGCTCCCTCCCTGTTCTTTATTTGGGACTTGGTGGACGTGTGGTGGTGATTGATTGAGGGGATTTGGAATTGGAACCAGGAGGCAATAAGGGAACAAGGAGGGCGAGCGGGTTAGCACACGGTGGGCGGGTTCACCCCGCCGCGCGCCAAGAGTCATCGGCCAAGTCTCCCCTCCTTTTCAAACAACAATTTGTTCTCTTTGAGCAGAAGGGGATCGTGTGTTTTGGCTTCCCGTTTTTGGCTGGCGTGTTCATTTAGCAGGGCGATTGGGGGAGAAAGCAGGCGAAGCGTCCTGTCGCCCTCCGGGGCTGATTGATTGTAAAGAAATAGGTCAATCTAAATTTTTAAGAACAATACTCCAGGTCCCCAGATGTGTGTCAAATGCAAGGATAAGGCTAGAAACAGGATGCCTTAAAATAGAAGCCTGGATTAGGATTCAATCTATATATGTGTGGCTAAAGGGACAGCTAAACCCAAAAGGCCTATTTTCCTTGATATTCAATGATAACTACCAATCTAAGTGGTTTAAATTGGTCCAGGGATACTTGGGGAAAATTGGCCTCTCACCTCAGG